TGAAACCACTGGTAATTGTGCCATCTACTATAGACTATAGTGTATGACCACTGTAATTGTGCCATCTACTCCGAAACCACTGAAAATCTGGAGACCTAAACTGTGTGCGACTCGATCTTGCGGGGCTGGGCTGAGGTGGCAGCCTGAGGCCGGGAACAGCGTGGCGGTGTCAGTGCCGGTGGTGAAGCGCCCAAGCGCGGCCTGCATCATAGCACGAATATGCAGATGCAAGTCTTGACAGTCTCTCACAGTCTCTCACAGTAGGCGTCTTTCACCACGGGCATTTGAAGGATTTCAATTGTTCCATCATCCACGTATATCCAAGTGCTCCATTCCTATATAGGCTTGAGAGCAGAGTAAAAGACCCTACGGGGATCTACGGGGCAATTCCTAGATCCGAAGAAGCCCTAAAACAGAAACACTGAGATCCTCCTTAAACCCAGCTCTTGTCCGTTCTCTGTCAGGCCGTTGCGGATGCTGATTCCCGGTGGCGGGGGATCTGATGCGAATCCGATGTGCACCGGTCATCGCTGGTGTGAAGGGAAAAAGAGGAGACGAGTGTCGTCCTGTGACATGGCGCACGAGCGAAGGCGCATGAGCGAAGGTGCACTGACCGGGTTTCGTTTCTTTTTTCCCACATGTCGGGTGTGCGAACTGGATGTAGGTCGGATAGGAAGTCCACCCCCGAAGCAATGGGTTTCAGTCTAATTCTTCCTTTGAGCGTGTTTTGTGAGGTCTCCCTGTTCCAATGCATGTCTCCAAGGAAGAATGCTTGTGAAGCAAACCTCGGTGTTCCAACGGCGCTCGGAGACAGGTCGGAGCAACCCTCAGAACGAGAGGTGGCCTCCGGTACAGAGGTCTTCCACCAAAGGATGAAGAGAAAGGGGTGATTGGAAAGAGAAAGACTGGTCTCCAAGATCCATCTTACAGGTTCAAGCCCATCGTGAACCTTGGTGACGACTTTTGTGCTCTTCTTTGGTGAATGCTGTGACCGCTTCACCCGGGGAGTCCTGTTAATTTATTTTTATATTTTTTTTCTTATGCCACTATAAGTCTTGATTGTGTGTTTGTTGGACACGCTCTGAATTTCCTTCTGGAGTTGCAGATCCCCCGAGGGGGTCAGAGGCCCCACTGAGCAAAGCTATAGAACTTGGCCAGGCACCGTCCAGAGACAGGTTCATTCGGGATGCGCGGTGCCGCGAACGATGTTGCATGAGGTTCCCGGTTGAAGAAGCCCTACGCCGGACAGAAAGATAACGAAAGAGTGCACGAGACGAAATCAGGTGAAATCAGGAGACCGCTCGATTGAGCAATCTGAGCAAGTACGACACAAGTACGACTTTCACTAGACCGGTCGTCCTCCTTCAGCAACTACAGGTGCATGCAACTTAAAAGGAGACGTTGTTTCATGAGCAACACTGTGGGAACTTCGAAGCCTTCCGCGAGTGATGGCGGCATACGGCATACGTTCTTTTTTGTTTTAATGCTAAAGGACGACCCTGCAACACATGTGTCTTAGATCATAGATCGACGGACACCGCTCCTCTCTACGAAGAAATGGTGAAGTCAGACTGGGCTGTTGGGAACCGTCCTCAAAGAAGGGAACTAACTAGACTGAAATTTTCCCCAAACCCATTGGTTGGAGACCTCTCTATTAAACAACACACACACAACATCCATTTGCACCCAAACATGCTGTGTTTGGGGGCATATATATATACATATGTGTAATATGTGTATCATTATGTATATAAAACTACATAAATTAAAAAATATATATTAAGATATTTATATACAATTTAATAGACATATATATATAATGTAATGTAGAGAGGGCAGCGCTGTAGCTGGCGAAGACCTTAGCTGGCGGAAAACAATGCCTGTGTCAAAATATTTGACGGCAGAGGGAAAGACACAGTACGGGCTCTTCAAAGAAGGCTGCAAGGAATTAATATTTGTGTCTGCAGGAAGCATACTTTGATTTGGCATAATCAATGCACAGGTGTATTAAAAAAGGGCACCTGCAGGAAACAGTGTAAAACGGACACACTCACAGCGCTGGTTTTTGATCATATTATATATAATCTATAATATATGATATATATTGTCTATATATTATATAATATATATAAGCTGCTTCTTCTATTGGAGCGTCATGTTCAGTGTGGCATAATTGAACTTCTGCTGCTTATTTCTTTTCTTCCAAATACATATTGAGCCACACTCACGCACATATATATATATATACATCTTTTGACGAGCCAATCGCAAGCACAGCACTCTATCGAGTTGGTAGAACATGGACATCCATGGGATACTGTAGGAAGGAGAACAGCCATGGAAAAAGAGAGGAGGGCTTCTCCGAGATACAAGTAACATGTCGCCTTTCACTGCCCTCCATACCCAGGCTCGTCGACCATGATATTATACAGTACACCAACATACACGGTACATACAAGTGCAGCACAAGCCATGTTAAACTGCCAAAAAAAGCAGAGAATCTCCCTCGTAGGTCGTCCAATCTCAGCGGACGGTGGCTGGTCTCCCGGCGATGGGTACAGCTGGACAAAGCGTTGAGACGTTTCAACGTTTCAAGGGGTGGGTGTTTCCGGTTCCCAGAATTGAGATATTGAGACATTGTTTTCCAGTTGGCTTATTTTTCACAGAATTGGTTTTCCAGTTCGAACTCGCTGCCTCTTGATCTCGCCAGCATAGACGCACAAACATGGAGATGGTCTCGACCATCGACTGTGAGAAAAAAGACGACCTCAGAGGTGCCTGACCTGGAGGCCATGTGGCTGAATATCTATATCCACACCTCTTCTGAGGTAGACCCTCGGGCACTACACTCCCTGAAATAATCACGGAAATGGAGTTCACCACCTGTTTGGAATTCGGATTTCGTGGTCATCCAAGGGGCCATGCCATCCATTTCCATGATACTTTCATGGAGTGTAAGAATTCTGGATGGCTGGATTGCTTGTTCCCCCGACTGTCAACATGATGCTGGATGGGTGTTTAAGGCATCACCACAAAGCCGGGGTTTCAATGGGTTTCACCTGGGCAGGGAACGTTTCGTTGTGGCTGTTTGCAAAATAACATACATAGATTCAGTTTGGGCAGGACCTGCTTTGTCCTAGGACCTGCTTTCTGCTGGGAAGCGCGCTTCGAGCCGTCTGCGATTTCCGTCGCGACGTGTCCGTCGTCGGATGCACGGTGCCTTCAGCATGTGGCCACGGCGGCATCACGGTCGAATGAGACACACCGAAGCTCCATGGCCGAAGAAAGCGGTAAAGGGGAAAAGGAGCCTTTCCCTTTTCCTTGGATCATTTCTTGGAGAAAGCGGAGAGATGATTTCACAAATGGGACACCTCAGCTGCTTGATTTCCTACGACAAATTTGCGCCAAACACCATCAAACACTCTAAAGTCCCCCCGGCTTCTTTACCTTAAAGCAATCCTCAAAACTGATGGATGTTATTCAACCCTGCAGGGTTCTCATTGGAATTGATATGGTTCACTTCAGACTCTGCACTACCAATACTTGATCGGGCTCCATTTGCTTATTTACCTAAACTACAGCTCAGATACTGCCAGGGCAGGATAGCCTCCACTTGAGGACCTTCACGTGGTGCCTGCATCCTATTTTGATGGATGGATTTGGTCCCTGTGGACCCACAGACAGGTGAGACTCGGCGAAGTCGCCCAGGGAGTTTGTTCTAACGTGACTCTCGTTACGGAGCACGTGAGTGACGGAAATGGAAGTCACATGACTAGGTTTGGACACTTCGGAAGCGATCTTGGACATAGGAAGATGATCTTCTTTGAACATCCATTGGGGTGAGACGAGTTTCTTCTGGCTGCGAGGCGAGTTTTCGATGAGACGAGGTTCTTTTGTTTCGACTGATGGTAGAATTGTGAACGAATAGGGTGAACCTGAATTCTAGGTGATTTGACATGAACGAATAGGGTGTATAGCCTTAACAGTATTCTATAGATACATAACTATTTAGTGTCCCCAAATCGATAGAAGTTGTTTCGTATAGAGGTCAATTACATGTTATATACAGTACTTGATCTATTTTGGGGATCACCATCCTTTGTACACCCCTATGATTTGCAGTGATCAGAAATCATCCCCAATCAGTGCTTCGTCCATTAGCAACTTCGGTTTGGAACCCGAGTCTACCGGATGAAGTTGAATGATCCACAGTTATACTCCTTAGGAACCATTGAACACCTGAGTCCCCGTAACGAAAAACACTGACATAAGGCCATGGCTTGATATCTCAGGAAGACCTGCCACAGGCCGTGATGGGCCACAAGCCGTGGGCCGTGTGTGAACGAACGACCGTTTGATGCACGAACCGATCCTCGGCTTTCGGCTGCGGACGAGGGTCTAAAAGGGACGCACGCGTTTTGCCCCCCCCCCCCTCCATGGGTTTTCAAGTAGGATGCATTTGTGGGTTTATAGGTTAGGGGGACCAGATGGATTTCCAGCCTTTGCTGGCTCGCAATGCGCTCTGAAATGACAAACACCTACCGGGCGGACGCACTGCTTTGAAACTATTTTGTTGCTTTTAGGCCGGTGGATAATCCATTCTTTTGCAGACTGAGTTTGCAGCACATGTTGATTGCTGGTTCGACTCCACCGTGGCTCTATGTTTTCTCTACGCGTTCCAATGCTTTCTTTGGAACGCAGACGCAAACGCAGCCAACAATCCAATTCTGCGCTCGCAGACGGCCACATAAGCATAGATGGCCTGCCTGGGGTGGTTGGGAATATGCATTTCCTCTAGCAGTACTAGAGTACTCCTAGCTTTCCAATGTTGACTCATGATTGATCAACATATACCACCCAGAGTGGTTTTACATTCTGAGTGGTTTATGCGGGTTTTCTTTTATCAACCGTCTACATGATGTCGACTTGAGGGGGAGGTAGACTTGATGCTTTTCTCCTCCTGAAGGCGCTTTTCTGGAACCTCAGCAGCTCCCTTGGCCAATGTTTCTCCGCTGCATCAAGCCGACGCAGCAGGAGCAGGAGCAGGAGCACTGGCCACTATAAGATGCTTTTGTTTATCACTGGAACCTTCAGAAGATTCACATATAAGATCATACATATAAGATCTGATTCAAGGATCATGCGACCTAAATTCATTGGGTTTATCACGGGGCCACTCTACAATGCTTGGGGCCCTCGTTTAACTTTCCAGATTCCTTGCTTGGGGCCGTCGAGTAATGGTGGATCCTCGACGAGGGTGGATCGAGAGTTGTGTGTTGGACCAATCTTGGCCTTGTCTTTTTCTTGGGTGTTGGACCCAGTCATGGACGAAGCTTGATGCACGGCCGGTCCTCCACGGTGTTTGGGCTTGAAGCTTTATGCACGGCTGTTTCTCGCAGCGCCAAGCGATTCGCCGGTCCTCCGCCCAGCTCCAGCTGGCCAACTGAGAGGCGTGACCTGCGAATGAAAGGGTGCGATGTGATCTTTTGTGGCTTTTCGTGATGTGAGTCATTTTCAAAAGCATCGTCATTTATTATACTTCATACAAATGCGTTTCATCTAAGAGTGTGATTTCGGGTTCTCCTTGGAAAACGATACAGGACGTCTAACAAAAACGATATCCCCGGGCCCTAGTGTTACATGTATTATTTCCTT